CGTATTTGCTTTGATTAAGGTTTTGAAAACTCCTGGAGTGTGGTATTTGTATAGAACGTTTGGTCGGTGACAATAGCTTAGTTTCCTCTGAACAAAGAGTTACAACAGCCGCGCTGCACTTGATGGCACTAGTAGCCAATCTAGACCTGAGTCGTTACCACTGACCCTCTGTGAGAATAGAGCACTTCTCCTATTTGCCCCAAGGCATGCAGGACGAACTTGAAAAGTTGATGCCCCTGCTTGACCCATAGCTCCTTCATAAGAACCTGAAGCGATAAGCGCGCGCCTAGACTTTATCGCACTGAGTCAAACATTGGATTGATACGTCCGACCAAACGACTAATTCGTGCAGTGATGCGCGGTCAGAGCGCAGTCAGCAATTATTTGATGGGAGAGCTTACGCCGCCACTTCCCATGCCTCAAGTGGTCTTCAGGACACCCAAGGCGCACATTTGATTCTTAAGCGGTTTATGTATCAAAGCCAATCAATGAAGGGCTTGGCCACGGTTGGAGTGATGAAATTTTAGCTTTACTATGTTGATCCTAGTGCCTTTTATATCCGACAAACTTTCAATATCATAGCTGAGGTATCTTATGGTGAAACGTTATCAAATGGGCACTGTCGCTCGTCCGACTTGAGCAATGCAGCCGAATAGATGCCCCGACATCTCAAGACTGAAACCTCGAGATGGCCTTACGACGCGACGGAGCCATACTTGATCTAAAGCGATGCTTTTGACTATTGACGCAAGAAGCTATATCACCCCGGCAAAAGAGTCTAGCAAGTAAGAAAACTGCGGAGAAGAGGTACCTGCTGTCATGAAATATCGCGCTTAAACACTCGCGTTGACCCTTTTGGCAAGAACCTGTTGTAACTCTCAACTGAACTGATGCAGTCGACTAAAATTGAGCCTTCCAAGTTACAGAATTGGTCGGGATGACAGAAAACCGTTGGGGTGTCCCTTAGGAATTTTAAAGGCCAGATATTGTGTGACGGGTCACACGGCACCTTGCACAGAGGAAGCTTGACTTCCAAGAGTATA